TACTTAATACGTTCTTGACAAATAAATGAATGAAAAATAAATAAAATAAGTATCCAAAGTTTTTTGCCCATACTATCATTGTCTCTTTTACCAGTTCATCTTCCATTTTTAAGCTTAACAAGAAATTGTATATTTTCTTTATCAACTTTTCATCTATTCCTAACATTATTTGGTCAAATATTGTAAGCTCTTTAAAGAAACCATAATCCTTAATATCTTTCTCATATCTCAATTTTATTTGCATATGCGGCCACCATGATAGGTCCACACCTATGATTCTGCAACTCTTGTTTAGTTTTAAGTTTCTCTTCCACATTCAAAATATCTTTATACGTTAAGATTTTTTTTCCAGATTTACTATATTTGGATGTATAAATGCTTCCATTGTTGAGAGCCAAACTGGAATTTTAATGTAAATTTTTGCTTTCACCTTTTCCCATACTGAAAGTAGAGCATTTCTTATATAGTGTCTTTGAAAATATCTATGAGTTTTACTTTTGTTATACCATAAAAAAGCATGCCATCCTAATTGGAGATCATGGCCTTCTAGAAGCAGTAATCTTTTATGTCTAAGAGTTATCCATTCCCTCACCCATGTTAATACAGCTTCATGATAATAGAGCTCCCAAACTGGTAGTCCAAAGCCCCCATTGTTTTTGGAATCTTGCAACATTTTCAATCTTATTCTTGCTTTTTTTCCTTGCCAAACATATTTCAAAATTACATTATTTAATTCATCAAAGTATTCATTTCTATAGTTGTGATTCTCCCTACCATTGATAGCTGCAAATTTTTCCATTTATCTATATCTGGATAAACATAGTGTCAGATCACAAAGCATCCCTAGCCTGTTCTCGAGTTGCCATAGGTAGGGGGGGATGGGAAACTGACAAAGCAGCATGGCAGCCAAAAACAAAAGCACATTCCAGATATATCTCTCTCAAGGCTGTCTCCCAGGGTTACCTACAGCAGCCGGAGGGGAGTGAACTCTACAATCCGTAAAATTGCTCCATTGGCGAATGTGACTGATGACACACCCTGGGGGGAGGGGGGAAACAGGCTCAAGATTTGGTCATAAATTACATGGAGTCAGAGTTGGCTTCACTTGGAACATGTCGACATGAAGCTCCTAATAAATGACTGGATTTCTTTTGAAGCTTGGCTTGAGGCTCACGATTTAATTAGAGCATCTGGAACTCTGACACATGGCTTCTTTGCCAGATTGATAGCATTAGAAGGAAACAAAAGCAGTGGGTGATACTTGGGAAGGGCAGTAATTCCATGGTAGATTATCTGCTTTACATGCAGATGGTTTCAAGTTCAGTCCTTGATTTCTCCATGCAGAATTAGAAAACTTTCACCTGAAACCCTTGAAAGCTGCTGTTTGTTACAGAGGCAATTCTGGGTAAGAGGGACCAGCAGTCTGACTCAGTAGTAACCAACTTTTATGTCTCTTTGCAAGGGGCAAGAGGAGGGAACAAGATTCATTTCTTGTCTTAAAAGCAGTCCAGCATCCAAAGGTTTCATCACAAAGAACTATGGTTACTAGCTAGTGCTTCCTTGCTAGTTACTAATCAGAGGAGATAAATCATTCTTTTTCCAATATAGCTAAGCATTTAAACACGGTGTTGGTGCCATGGGATGCAGTCAGTAAAGACTGCTGTCTTGTTGACACATTTTTGCTTATAAATATACATTTCTCCTTGATTCTGGGAAGTTCAATGAACATTATGCAATCATCAGTATGCAAGGAAGACTGGCTCATGGGAACCAGCTAGGAGAATCAGTGCTGGCTACCTATTTAATTCTCCAGAGCGCCTGCAATTTTGAGAATTGCTCTACAAATATATTTAGCTAGCATACCCATGATTGCATTACAGAAATATACACTACCACTCTTGCTTAATGAAACCCTGGGAATATTACTATTCCCTGACTTAGCTTAATGCTCTTAAAAGACATGTGTATATTATCCGCCTGAAAGTTAATGACAAATTCAGTATTTCTCAAGATAGCAGTTAATTGTTAGAGCTGGAATAAATTCATGGCTGATTATCTTGTATCTAGGCAACTTAAAAATAAATACGAAGCGCTTACTTCCATTCTCATTCATTAGAGCAAGAAATGTAAGCCAGGTTCCCCAATGTGTCAGCTGTCATATGGCATATTAGTTTGATCAACTTTATGAAGACTAATACGTAATAGAAGAGGTATGTCAATAAGGCCCTTTTGCCATATTGCCAATAAAACACAGACTCCTTGCCTATTATTTTACGCCAATAAATTTACTTCTTTAAGCTGCCACTGGTTGGAACTGCATATCTGATTTCTCAGAAATGGGGGTGTTTCAAAAACATTACATAAGACATTACCATTACTGAGATTATTGATAACAATCACTTAATAGGGCAAATTCTACAGGGTGATGCCAGAAGGGATCCAAGGCATAGCCTGAATTGAACAAGGCCAGCTCTCACCCCTAATATTAACCTTTCATTGTCCAGAAATGTATGCTTCAGTTTGGAAATTAAATGTTGCAGATTCGAACTTCGGGATCTTATACAGTAATGAAACACTTAAAGAGATTCCCAGCATCTATTAATCAGGGTCAAACTTCGGCCATTCTGCTCCCTCTCCTTCTTCTGGTATTTTGACTCTTGTAACATACTTTTCACACATGGATACTGTACCTGGGCCCACAAATATATACACCAATGGTGCAGATATTGAGAGAGCCAGAGCTGCAGTGTTGAAAAAGAAGTTTTACTTTATTGATTTATTTCATTTGTATAGCTCTCCATCTGAAATCAGTGTGTCAGGCCTGTAAACCATCTTTTGCATTGGGCCTTCAGGCCTGCCACATTTAGTGCTGTGGGAAACTGGGAGGGGGGGATTGTACGGAGCATGGGTGATATGTAGTCATAATAACATTCCTTTCTCAGAGAGTCAAGGACATCTTGCCCTGCATCTGGAGTGATGTGACTGGGAGCCATCTCCAGTTGGGACGGTGCATTGATTGGACCATGTGATGGACATGTGGGTGCTGGACAGGGACTTGGACTTTCCTTTGGGTGGGGAAAACCTGGAAGCTTTCAGATTTGGGTTTTCCCAGATGTGCCAATATGACATCTCTAATAAAATGGAACTTTGAGGAACTTCAGGCCTCGGAGTCTTCTTTCGTTGAGGGTGTTACCTGGAACCCTGACACAGTAATTATGAATGGTAAACAGTCAAAAAATGTGTGTTGGCAACAATAAAGACAGGCCACAAAGCCTGGGCAAGTCTCTGCATTCTGAGTTTCTGATGGAAAAAAAGTCAGATGTATGTGAAACTATTCTACAAAAAGTAGCCCTCTTTAGCCCATTGTAAAGGTAAAGGTAAAGGTTCCCCTCGCACATATGTGCTAGTCGTTCCCGACTCTAGGGGACGGTGCTCATCTCAGTTTCAAAGCCCAAGAGCCAGGGCTGTCCAAAGACGTCTCCGAGGTCATGAGGCTGGCATGACTAAATGCCAAAGGCGCATGGAACGCTGTTACCTTCCCACCAAAGGTGGTCCCTATTTTTCTACTTGCATTTTTTACGTTCTTCTGAACTGTTAGGTTGGCAGAAGCTGGGACAAGTAATGGGAGCTCTTTCCATTATGGAGCACTAGGGATATGAACCACTGAACTGCCAACCTTTCGATCCACAAGCTCAGTTTCTTAGCCACTGAGCCAACGCATCAATACAGCCCATTGTACAATGTACAATGTGGCCCATTGAAGGTAACCTCATAGATCACATCGAACCTATAAGTTGGGGCTTTCTGGTGAAATTAGGTCATCAATGACCCAAATACAGTGTCAAGTGTGTGTGAGAGACATTTTTCTGTTTCTATTTTAATTGACGAATCATCAGTTATCTGTTGACATTCACCAAATCATAAAGGAAGCATAAACAGAACAACATGGAGTTTATTGGGATCACCAGAAAATTAGTATCAATGCATTTGAACAATTAAATATGGGTACTAATTCTCACCTCATGCTACGATTGCAATTTCAACAGAACCCTACAATGACTAATCTTTCTTCTCAAGCAAAGCTACATGAATATGATGAAGATACAAGACCAGGGGTGAAATGCTACCGGTTTAGTCCGGTTCGCTCGAACCAGTAGTAATAAAGGCGACTGGTTCGCCGAACTGGTAGTAAAAAATGTTAAAAAAAAAGTTCTGATGATCAGCTGAGCGACACATGATCGTTGGAACTTTTTTTTTCTTTTTTTACTTTTTAGGCCTTTTTTTTACTACTGGTTCATGTGAATAGGTAGTAAAAAATGCTTTTAAAAAGTAAAAGAAAAGGCTCCGACGATCACATCTGTGGCGCGTGATTGTCAGAGTCTCTTTTTTTTTACTTTTTTAAAGCATTTTTTACTACCTATTCACCTGAACCGGTCATTAAAAAAAAAGCATTTAAAAGGTAAAAAAAAAGGTTCCGATGATCACAGCTGTGGCGCACGATCGTCAGAGCCTTTTTTTAACCTTTTAAATGCATTTTTTTTAATGACCGGCTCGGGCGAGCTGGTCATAAAAAAATGCTTTAAAAAAGTTTTTTAAAAGGCTCCGACAATCGTGCGCCACAGCTGATCACCCCCCCCGCGCGCTGTTCTACTTACCTTCCCAGGCCTCCTTTTGGTGTGCACTGCGCGCGCGCACCCACACTTCGCATTTGGTGTGTGGTGCGCACTGCGCATGCATGCACTGCAGCACACATTTGGTGCACAGCACGCATACGCAGCCAGCAAACCGGTAGTAAACCGATTCAGATTTCACCACTGCACAAGACCCAACCTTATGGCCAAGAGTCTTAACAGACCTCTGCAAGTATTTCTCCTTGAACCTTGCAACATCAGGATTAGCTCATAATGAACTCTTGGTATTGGGGTTGACATTGATGTGAGATCACAAAGGTTGGTCTCCTCCTTCAGAAAAGCAGCATCAGCATGAGGTGATGGGTCAGCTCTCTCTGAAGCAGGCAGCAGTAAAGGAAGAAAGCCCAGTTAGTCTTCTTCAGGCAAATAACATCAGCACAGAGACACGTCATTTGAAGGATGCAGCTTAATTTCTGACAGGTACATAGCAGCAAAGGGACAACCTTTTCTTCTCTGGCTGAAGGAGGTAATAGCAGCCCAAATCCAACTGGAGATAGGCATCATTACCAGTAGAGGGTTATGAACTTTTTCACATTGAGCTGGGGAAAAAAAAAAGCTTAGTTTTTTTCTCTAGTTGCTTAAGAGCTTTTGAAAATACATGGGAAAAAATACTTGTAAAAGCCTCTCAAATCTAATAAAATCAATAGATACAATCTCTCTTAGTTCATTAAGCTGCAGATTCCAAAAGGACTGATGGAAGATGAAGAATGACAAGTCTATGGTTTACCCCAAAAGCCTTCGAAAGTGGATCTTTCCTTCCCCATACTAACCTAGGAAGTATGGTAGACATTTGAAAAAAAGAGCAGTCTGACTGTCAGGATTGCAGAAATTTTACCACCACCAAATTCATTTCCCCCTCCAGTTTCTTACTATGTACATAATTATATATACAGTAGTGGCCAAAATTGTAGAAACCTTTTGGGAAAAGTGTATTTTTGAGGTTTGATGGCTAATAACAGCACTTTTTTTGTGGGGGGGGGTTTCAAGATAATCCTATTATCTTGCTGGAAGATGGGAATAGCCCGGTGATAATCCTATTATCACTGCTGGAATGGCCTGGGAATAGCCCAGACCTTAACCCAATTGAAAATCTATGGAGCCGATTTAAAGAAACTTGTTAGTCAGAAGCGACCCAGCAATAAAACCCAGTTAATAGAAGCAATCATTCAATCTTGGTTTCACATTATAACAGCTGCAGAACTATAAGACTAGGTTCACTCCATGGGAAGACGTCGTAAGGCCCTAATTCATGCTAAAGGTTACCCAACTAAGTATTAACTGACATGGTGATAATTTTTGCATATCTTGTTTTTTCCTATGGTGATAATTTTTGTATATCTCATTTTCTCTACGTGTTTCACTTTTCTTCTTTATGCTGTCACTGCTATTCTAATAGCAAATCCTTCATAAAAGTTATTGCATTACATTCTTGATTAAATTATCTTTCCATTGATATATCATTTTATGGTACTACTCCAAAAAAAAAAAAAAAGGTGTGTGTGTGTTATTAGCTAGTTTTAGAAAATACACTTTTCCCAAAAGATTTCCACAATTTTGGCCACTACCGTATATGGTTATCTATATTTTTAATTTTTAATTCACAGGAACCTTGGCCATCTTGACTGAAGTAATAATTTGAGTATTTCTGCAGCTAAAAATGAGAAAGCTCTGGAAGAAATTGCTGAAATGGTAACATTATATTTAATTGTTTTAAAATATTTCTAGTATTATAATTGTAGCATGTTTTTTGAATTGTAAACTGCCCAAAGTCATTGACTGAGATGGAGAGGTATAGAAATTGAATAAAAAAACATCCTGGGACATGAGAAACTTTTCTTCACATGCTCTTCGGCATGTGAATAAAACAACAAACCTCCTGTAGACCAGCCCATCCAGAAGGCAGTTGGGAAAAGCCACTAGAACATTATATTGCCTGTAGGATACTGGATTTGCCATTTTTCTACAAATGTTACTTTTAAACACTGCTGTTAATAATAGAAATTAATGTTGAGGTTCTGACACTGCTCAGGGCTGGGCTTATTCTTGCTAAATATTACAGAAATTCTACTTAAGAATTACTAATTAATACAAATTAAGCATGATTTATTTGGTGGGATTCCGTATGCCTGCACAGCAGACTGCCTTCATTTCTCGAAGAGTTTTCCTTTAAACAATTATTCATTGTTCAGTTCTCTCCAGAAGCAATTACTGAATGTGTTTGAAATATTCAAAAATGTCTTCCATTTCATGCTTTCAAATATTTTTTTTTATAATGTTCCTAATTGTAAATTCCCAGGGGTGGGATTCTACCAATTCAGACCGGTTCAGGCGAACGAGCAGCTCCAATGATCAGCTGGGAACGAACTGGTTTGCCCTGACAATTAGATGGGCCCACCCACTCGTGCTATTTTTCTACCTTTATCTTCTCAGCTGATTCACGCTGCAGAGCAGATTGCCACGCCTCAGCTGCATTTCTCCTCTGAAGAAACGTGAAAGTGAAGATTTCACTTCCAGTGCTCATTAGGTGTGTGCACGTGTGCACGAAGCAAGCAATCACCAAACCAGTTGTTAAACTGGGAGGATCCCACCACTGTATATTCCCCAATCCTGCTGTTCATTGTCACGAAGATACGGTTGTTCCTGAGAGGGATGAATGAAGAATGCTTGCAATGTAGGCCAAGATTGTATATTTCCAACTTCTTCTTCTACTTGTGCCAAATTCATCATCGGACATTGGCGATCATGATGGCGATCCTATTTTTATTAACAGCCGCATGAAAAAGTGCTGCTGAGTTTTGTCCAAATCAGTCTAGTAGATTTTGAAGCTATGATGTTCTTCTTCTGCCTGGACCTCATTTGCCTTCAATCTTTCCCTGGAGGATTAAGTATGGCATATTTTTCCAAATGTCACATCACATGTCTGAAATATTCTAACTTTCGCTTTTTAATGGCTTTGATGATTGCTTTCCCAGGCAGCTTATCACCTCCTCATTTCTGATTTTTATTAACCCAAATTATACATAACAGCCACCTGTAAATCCACATTTCAAATGCTTCTAGTTTCTTCAAGTGGCTTTCTGTCAGAGACCAACTCTCCACTCCGTAGAGCAGGATAGAAAATATGTAACATCTGACAAGCCTGCTTTTCAATCTTAGACTTACGTTGTGACTGTAGAAGACCTTTCTCATTTTGAAGGATAATGTTCGAGCTTTCTCTGACCTTGTCTTTACTTCAGTGGTCATGTCCCAGCTTTCATGTAAATTAGAACCAAGGTATGTGATCCTTTTAATTTTTTCTAGTGGTATTCCTTCCGAATTTATGGGTGGTAAATTAATGGGTTGTTTGCTGACGACCATGATCTTGGTTTTTGAGGTGTTAAGCTTCAAGCCGTATTTTTCCGATATTTCCAGAGGTGGTATTAAGCCAGTTGGGACCGATTCGCCCAAACTGGTAATGGAAATCACAGGTGGGCCCGCCCACATGCCCCAGCTCTATGCCGTCCTATTTAGGCATGTTTTTGAGGCTGGGCACATGGGCGGAAGGCACACAAGCGAGCAAAGCACATGCGCAGAAGGACAGGTGCATGCATGGGTGAGGCACGTGTGAGCAAAGACATCGTGCGGGTGCGCACTCACATTTGCGAACCGGTAGGGAAAGTAAGTGAATACCACCCTTGGATATTTCTGTGATTCTGTTGATGAGGAGCTGAAGGTCTTCATGCTTACTGGTGAGCAGAACTGTATCATATTTCCACTCAGAAAGCTCAAAGGAGCTGCTGATACAGTTCTACAGAAGAATTATTGAGTCTGTCATCTGCACCTCTATAACTGTCTGGTTTGGTTCTGCAACCCAACAAAACAGACACAGACTTCAGAGGATAATTAGAACTGCAGAAAAAACAATTATTACCAACCTGCCTTCCACTGAGGACCTGTATACTGCACTAGTCAAAAAGAGGGCTGTGAAAATATTTACAGACCCCTCAAATCCTGGACATAAACTATTTCAACTCCTACCCTCAAAATGACGCTATAGAGCACCAGAACAACTAGACACAAGGACAGTTTTTTCCCGAATGCCATCACTCTGCTAAACAAATAATTCCCTCAACACTGTCAAACTATTTACTAAATCTGCACTACTATTAATCTTCTCATCGTTCCCACCACCCATCTCCTTCCACTTATGACTATAATTTTGTTGCTTGTATCCTTATGATTTATATTGATATTGTTTCCTGATTGCTTATTTGTACCCTATGACTATCATTAAGTGTTGTACCTTATGATTCTTGATGAAGATATCTTTTCTTTTATGTACACTGAGAGCATATGCACCAAGGTAAATTCCTTGTGTGTCCAATCACACTTGGCCAATTAAAAAAAAAGTCTGTTCTATTCTAAAAAAAATAATATTTCCAACACAATCACCCAAGCCATGAAGGTTTTTAGTTTATTTTTTAAAGTTTATTTTGGATTTATATACCGCCCTTCTCCTGAAGGACTCAGGGCGGTGAACAGCCAAAGATAAAACACATACAATATAAAATTTAAAAAACAATTAAAAACATATTAAACCAATTTGGCCCATACTAATTAAAACACCCCTTTTTAAAAAGCAAATTAAAATTGAACAATTAAAAAGAGTTAGGCCAGCCCAGCTTGTTGGAATAAAAAAGTTTTGAGGGCACGGCGGAAAGTGTATCTCCGGGGGGAGCTCGTTCCAAAGGGCAGGTGCCCCCACAGAGAAGGCTCTTTCCCTGGGGGCCACCAGCTGACACTGTTTGACCAATGGCACCCCGAGGAGCCCCTCTCTGTGGGAGCGTACTGGCTGATGAGAGGCTACCGGTGGCAGAAGGTGGTCTCGTAGGTACCCAGGTCCTAAGCCATGGAGCGCTCTAAAGGTGGTAACCAATACCACCCAGTTGCCTGAATGAAGGTCATCCCAGTTGCCTGAATGAAGCAAACATGCACCTCTCTGGAGCATCAGCAATAGAGGAAAATGCTGGAGAAGGAGGAGGATTACTTTAATGACAACAGCAAAGGCATCATCACATACGCCATGGGAGAAGGCAGTGGTGAACCACTCCTGTATTTTATCAGGAAGACCACAAGGATGGAAAAATATTAAACATGATGGATGATATAGGGCTGGATAATGGGCCCCTCAAGTTGGAGGGCATTCATTGTGCTACTGGGGAAAAGCTGATGAACTTCTGGAGTGTTAACAGTGTTTATGACATGGCTAGATTAAAGCCTTCGTGACAGCTAGTTGGTGATGTTGCCAATACAAAGCTGCAAAGACAGAATCGCAGTGGGAAGATGCAATGTAGGAAGCACAGACATAGGACAGTTCGGTGCAGCGAAAAATGAAATGAGTAGAAATTGATATCTTAGGTCAGAGGTGGGTTTCAGCAGGTTCTGATCAGTTCTGGAGAACTGGTAGCAGAAATTTTGAGTAGTTCAGAGAACCGGTAAATGCCACCTCTTACTGTCCCGACCTCCATCAATTCTCTGCCTCTCGAGTCCCAGCTGATCGGGAGGAAATGGGGATTTTGCAGTATCCTTCCCCTGCCATGCCCACCATGCCATGCCCACCAAACCATGCCATGGCCACCAAGCCACACCCACAGAACCGTTAGTAATTTTTTTTGAAACCCACCACTGTCTTAGGTGTTAGTAAATTGAGATGGATTGGAATTAGATACTTTTTAGCAGAAGATCCCAATGTTTATTCTTCAGGACTGCAGTGACAGAAAAGGAATCATGTTGTTTTTATAGTTAGGAAGGATATAGCAAGGAAAGTACTTGGGCTAAAATGCAACCCATGGCCAAATAATAGCAATATCACTTAGATTTTCAGTACCTACCACTTTATAGCGCTTTATAGCACTCTCAGCATATTGCACCCAACAATCTGGTCCCTCCTTTTACCAACCTCAGAAAGATAGAAGGCTGAGTCAACTTTGAGCTGGTCAGGATTGAACTGCTGGCGGTGGAATGCAGAGTTAGCCTGCAACACTGCATTCTAACTATTGAGCCACCATGGCTCTTTCATATCAAACTAAACTTCATGGGCAACCCTTTAATATAGGGATAATCCAAGTTTATGTTCCAACCATCACCTCTGCTCCAGTGGTGAAATCCAAATTTTTTTACTACCGGTTCTGTGGACGTGGCTTGGTGGGTGTGGTGTGGCTTGGTGGGCATGGCTTGGTGGGCATGGCAGGGGAAAGATATTGCAAAATCTCCATTCCCTCTCCATTCCAGGGGAAGGATACTACAAAATCTCTATTCCCACCCCACTCCAGGAGAAGGATATTGCAAAATCTCCATTCCCAGCCCACTCTGGGGCCAGCCAGAGGTGGTATTTGCTGGTTCTCCAAACTACTCAAAATTTCCGCTACCGGTTCTCCAGAACCTGTCAGAACCTGCTGGATTTCACCCCTGCTTGTTCCAAAAAAAGTTGTTTGCCAGATCAAGCGATGCTGCCTCCATATTATAACGTGGTCTGAAACCCAACTATTAATCTGTTTCCTCCAAGATTGTCTCACCTGCTGTCCATTAATTTCCACAACATTCTCCCAAAAAGCGAGGTTAGAAACTGGCATGTAATTATCTAGACTGGAATAGTCCATTGATAGCTCATTTGAACTTTGGTGCTAGGGAAGATTCCTAAAAATACCATG